TATTATAAAGGAATAAGTTATTTTACTTATTTTTTTTTTATGTCTTGCCTACCACTCTTTAATATTGTTAGATCATAATCTCAAGTACCCTCATCATTTCTCTCTCTTACTATTCTGATTTAACGGTATTGGGAAGTGATAGGTAAAGGTAAGCAGAAAAAATAATAGGTAAAATAACTTATTCCTATTATAAATAAGAGTTTAGTGTTTGTCATCTAAAAAGATGATACTTTTAGGGCCCATTTGGATGGATTTTTTTCTCTTTAAAAATTGTTTTTTTTTTATAGAAAAAAAACACTTTTAAGAAAAAGTCTATTTGAATGCCTGCAAAACAGAAGTCGTAAAAAAAGTTAAAAATCCATTTTTTCTATAAGATAAAAACTTTAGCTTATAAAAAAAGTAAAAGCCAAACGCCAAATATTTTTTTAAAATATCAAATATTTTTAAAAAATCTAAATAACTTTAACTTTTGTAAAAATACTTTTAAAATAAGAAAGACATAAAAAAAACTTTTTTGGGAAGGCCATCTAAATGGGGCCTTAGACAAATGTAATATGTTTTTTAATTTTAAATTATAAAACTTTTTTTTTTTTGTAATAAAATTATAAAACTTTTCCTTTCTCTCTCTTCTCCCATAATTTATTCTTTTATCTCTCTTAAAGGTATGTCTCCTGAAAAAGAACACACATTTTTCCCTATAAATAAAAGAATAGTTAAGTCTCTTTTTGTTCTAAGTGTTAACTCATCTAAGACATAAATAGTTTTTTTTGCAATTAGACTATAGCGTCATTTTTTTTTTATAAATCACAAGTAGGGATGTGCATGAGTCGAACCGAACCAAATTAGTTTAAATGGTTCGGTTCGGAATCGGTTCGGGTCGACCCTCTTTTGAAAAGAAAAAAATTTAAAAATTTTAAAAATAAAGTTAAAAAAATCAAATTGGTTCAGTTTGAAAACGGTTCGGTTCGGTTCTTAAACTGTTTATAAAACCAGTTCGGTTTATGAACTGATTTTTAAAAACCGGTTATTTTAAGGGTGGTTCGGTTCGGTTCATGATTTGGTTAAGTTTTTTTGGTTATTTTGCACATCCCTAATCACAAGCATTTTTTTCGGTAGACAATTCTGTTAGAGGCAGATGCAAAAATGAAGGCTTAAAACTTCTCCAAAAGATAATACTATAAAAAATTGAATCCACGCTCTCATCTCCACCTGTTCATCTCCCATGTGCCATCATTTTGTTTCTATAGTATCATCTTATATAATAGAAAGTATCCATTAGAACTAAATACCAAAAGAAAAAGAAAAAGATGTGTTAATTTTAAAAGGGTTTTACTAATCTCCTTCCACAGAAGATAGTTATCTTATGTGGTAGAGAGAGAATGGGTGGGTCTCACCATTACAAGAAAAAAAAGAAAAAAGTGGGGTGCGAAAATCGAAGTGAGAGAAAATGATATAAGTTACCTTATGTAAAAGGAGAGTAATATTTCCCTTTTTAAAATGAGATAACCGTCTAATTTACATTCTTAATGACGGTTATCCTATGAATGGTTTTTTTGGTTTTATTGTATCTTCTGTCAAAAAGGATTTTCTTTGTTACCAACTTACTTTTATTTTATGGGAAATCATGTTCTCCGACAATAGGATAGCAAAAAAATTTCTTGCACAATTTCGTTTTTTGTGTCAATTAATTTTTTTTCTAATATAAAATGTGAGACTCACATTTAATTTATCTCTATTTTTATTCTCTCATGTTGTCATGCCACTTAAGAAAACATCAACCCTTATTTTGTTTATTGGTAATATTGTTGGATGGTTACATGGGCTTTGGGCTTTCTTGTTTAAACTTTGAAGCCGTGTTTTTCCTTTTGGTCAAAGTTGCTTCCAGAATTTTAACGAGGCCCAAACATGACCAGAAGCCTTGCAGGATTGTTATGCTGGAAAATACGACACGTTCAAATCGTAGCCCTAGCTTCAATACCTAGAAAGTAGAAACACACACATATGCAAGGTTTAAGCCCAACAATTTGAATCTTGGGCTCTCAATGATTTCCCAGGGCCTAGCTCGTTTATTTTACAAACATTTACTTGTTTATTCTTTTTTTTTTTCTTTTTAATTTATAAGAAGGGTGAGTTTGCACTCATGATCATTTAATCATAATTTCTAATATCATATGCAAAACAAATTCAATCTAAAGCTTAAGTTTTTAAGTAATATCAACATTAATAATTTTATGGTTCGCTTTTTCTACAGTCAATGTAGATAACTTATCTACAGTGAACCTAAAACGACGTTGTTTTGAGACGGAAATCAAGATATTTTTATAATTATAATTTATTTCAGGGTTATAATAGTCTTTTTCATTATAACTTTTTAATTTTTCAACTTAAAACGACGTCGTTTTGGGAGTGAATGTAGATAACATATCTACATTCACTTTAGAAACTTTAAAGCCTAATTTTATATTAGAGAAAAGATATACTTACAACTTGTTTTTCATTTACAAACTCTTATAATCATATCTTAACCATTGTTTTTTGTCAATCTGACGGTTATAATTTATTGAGAAATAATAATTAATTAATAATATAACCCAATAAATTATAACCATTAAATTGACGGAAATCAACGGTTAAAACGTAATTGTAAAAGGTTGCAAACGAAAATAGGTGATAAGTATAACCTTCATCTCTATATTATTATCTGTAAAATATATTTTTCTACCTCTCATTTAATTCATTCTACAACATACTACAAATAAGATAGCTTTCGAGACACAAGATTAAGCTGTAATGATTTTGAGTTATCGATTTCATGCTTAAATTGTCATTAGAGACTCGTTTAAATAATATCATGTTGTGGGCATCTCATTGAACTTTGAAGCAATCACATGGTGATGATGACTCCACAATCCCATTTAACCACTTCATCACTTGCTTAAAAGGTAAGTCTTAGCAGAGCCACAACCCCACGAGCTCGGCCTCTAGTCACTTCCTTTCCTCTTTTTCATCACTTGGCCATAAACAATTTGTTTTCGTTTACCAAATGATTTAGGAATGATTGACACCTAAATCTTAAGTATAAAGATTGATAAGGTTTAAATCCAAAAGTCTTTTATAAATTTAATAGTACACAGTTTTCTAAGTCCAGTTACTTCAAAGACAAGTAATAAGAAAGTCTTATAAATTTCTTAATTATAACATTGTTAGTTTAAATACACGTAAGTTAGGAGCAAACTTTCGGTGTCACCGTTGCACGTACCATTTTCTTTCAAAGTTTGTCACTTGTATTTATTTTCTTATTTTTCTTTTTTTTATCCCACTTTCATCTTCTCTTTTTTTGTGATTGGTCTTTTCTATTGAATAAATGGTACCACCGTGGCACTTTGAAAATTTTTGTAAGTTAGCCTGGTATCATATGGTCGCAATAAAATAAAAAAGCAGAGTGATAAGGTTGTTTAATTTCACCTTCCCTAATGAATTAAATCAATTAAGAGGGAGATTATTTGATTAACTTGAATATTTAATCGATTAAATCTTTAAGTCAACCATTTTTGTCAGTTTTAACCATTTAATCGATTAAATCTTCAAGTTAATCGATTAAAGATGGGTAGATTGGTAGATAGTTTCGAATAAGGGTCAAAATGGTTATTAATTAATTAATGAAGGGTAAAAGGGTCAAAAGAACCATGTTTCGTAGATGATTTTTGTTTAAATTTTGGAGAAATTAAAGGTAATAATCTAATGATAGGTTATTCTATCTATCTATTTTTTTTTTTGTCTATTTTTGCCTACTACTCTAAAATATTATATATCAGAATCTCGAGAAAAGAGAGAAAGATAAATATTAGTTAAGATTATGATATAATTGTATTTTCGAATGATAGGTAGAAAAAAATAATATGCAGAATAACCTATTCCAATAATCTATTATCCATGTTTGGTAGAAGATTTCTGAAATTTTATTTGGAAATGTGATTTCTCTGAGATTTTATTTTGTGAACAAAATTCAACTAAGAACATCATCCAACAATACCACTCACCCACGGTGGTATCAATCTTATTAAAATCGGTCCGGTCATTAATCCGATCGAGATATCGAGTCACTGGGTTACTGGTTCAACCAATGGGTCACTGGTTCAGCCGCATGACCCGGTAATTATTTACAATTTTATAATTTATATTAAAAAATTATAAATATGCTCAAATATTTTAAAAAAAATGATAAAAATATCAAATATTTTAATACAAAAAATAATAAAAATAATAAAAAATATTAATTTCAAATATTTTAATAAAAAATCAAACAAAAATATAATGATCGTGATACGGTGCTTTAGGTTCAGAAAACGACATCTCTAACTATAAATTAATTCAACATTAATATTAGTGTTGTAGGTACATAACTTATGTAAGTCAATAATAAAAAAATATATTCAAATTTGACTATTATGATTTTTTTTGAAAAAAAACAAAAATTTGGATTATTTTTTTTTGGAACCGGGCCGGGTCACCGGTTAACTGATCGGGTTATCGATTTTTATGAAAACCGGCCAGGTCGATCCGATTTTAAGACTATGGGTGGTATTATTGAATTCTGGAAAAAAATGAAAAATTTAACACATTTTTAGTAATATTTTCAATCAATCAAACATAAAATCATAAAAATTGATTCAACTTTCAGGAAATATTTTGATCTACGAAATAATTTTTTTATAACACTTTCAAAAAAAATTAATTTCTCACCATATTATGAGCGATCGTGATTTCCGAATAAAAATATTCTCACTCCTAAACAAATCATGATGGAATACTCGAAGTGAAAAAAAAAATGCCGAATTTGTACGGAAATGAGGATCCATTTCAAGTTTTCCCCACCACCACGATGTACAGACGTTGGTGCGTTCAAATAAATAAACACCAAACCAAACACAACCGTCTCTCACCCATAACCAAACAAAGACCTATTTATTTAATTTTCTCTTTTTTAGGGTAATAAAACTCTTGTTAAATAAAATCGATGTTGCTTGATTCGACACTTAACCAGGGGAGAAAATAACGCTCGCGTTGCGTTTACACTTTTAGATCTCAAAGACGCTGCAACCACCACCACCGTACCCGAAACGAAACACACCGAACCAGAGAGAGCGAGAGAGAGAGAGAAGACGAATCGTTTTGGAATCTATAGCCAACACGGCCTTGTCTCGAATGACATCCGTCTACGACGTCGTCTCATACCTCTAGCCAATCCTCAATCAAGGTTCTTCTTCTTTCTTCCCTCCAAACGCTGAGCTCTTGCTTATTTATTTATCATCGAATTTTTAATTTATTGATATTTTGCTTTTCTAATCGGATTGTTATGATGCGTTTAGCTGTTGCGGTCTTGCGGATATAGAATTGAATTTTGAAAAATCTTCTAACATAACACACGAGCACATTGCTTTTTTTAATTGATTTTTGCGGCTATGAATATTTTCATTTTTTGTTTTTGGATTGTAATTACCTTGTTAATGATTGTAACTGTGTCAAATTTGATTTGATTGGTTTGTTTTAGTTAGGTACGGTATAAGAGGAGGATCTGAATGGTGGCCAGGATTTGTGCGTGGTGATTTCCGTGGTTACAGTGGGTAGCAAAAACGGAGTGGATCGGAGAATGGAACGGAGCAAGAGCCGGACCGATCTACTCGCAGCTGGCAAAAAAAGGGTACCTGATTTTTACATTATGAATTTCAATTCTTGCTTGGTTAAAAGTGTGTATGTGTGTGTGTTCATATATATATATATTCTGAAGGAGAATTAGCTGCATCTCTTATGTTTCAAGAATCAGTTTTTTGTAGCTGGATTTGTTGGGATATTTAAGTATGATGAGTCTCATATTGGTTGATAATGACTTAAGTGAAGTGTATATAAGTGGAGGTACCCATGAACTCAATATCTTAAGGTTTTGGGTTGAGACATGGTATCGTACCCACTTGATATAATGGTGTAGCCTTAGCCCATTACTTTCCCTGGACCCACCTGACAGGATTTTGGTTCCAATTAGAATTAGTAATTGGATCCTGTGGTGTGTGCGGTGCACTTTAGATAGTAAAGTGCAGAGTTGAGAACAGTTAATTGAGAAAATCATCAGCTTAGTGTTTTATAACATACAAACATCTACATAACAAATCATAGATGTATGAGAATCTACTCGCTTAATTTTCTCATCAGATGGTTACCACATGCATTTTAAACTCTAAACTACACGACTCTCTTTAGAGGATTCAAATCCACCTAACAAAATAGTGCAAGATACTGAACCTTGTAGCATTCACCTGTTCCTTTTCTTTTTAGGAAGCTGATGTGTAGACTGGATTGGAATTTTTTTTAATGGTTCAGAAATTATATCATTTTATCTTTCTCTTCCTATTTGATTCCTTTTACTATTCGGTCTCGATGTATATGTGGTGTACAGTTATTAATTTTGATTCTCATGTTTTTGTTAGCTCCAACAATTCCGTCAGAAGAAGGACAGTAAAGGTGGTAGTAGCCGTGGAAAATCATCAAAAAAATCTGGTAAACCTCAGCTACCTGAGTCTGATGCTGATGCAGCAAGTAGTACCTCTGTATCAACTGGATCATCTCAGGTTACTGATGGAAACGTTGAATCTGACCATGACTCCAATGTGGTTATCACAGAATCATTAGAGTCCCAGTCTTTGGCAAACTCGTTAGCTTCTGACAGTATTGATCCTTCTGTTGACTCATCTTCGGTGGCCATTACATATGATACAGGCAATGAAACTGAATTGGATTCTAATACTACGTCAGCACTTCAGCTTGATGGGGTCCGTGAGAATGATTCTAGTTTGTCTGCCCAAGATCAAGGGGAAATTGCTCAGGATGTTGGTTCTGATGTGGCAAAGGATGTTTCTATGAGAACTTCAGATAGCCTGGGTCCTGAAGGTCGAACAACATATGATCATGCATCTGCACTTGCCATTTTGTACCCACCTGCTTCTGTCTCAACTGCAGTGGGTGATTCTGTTTTAGTTGAAAGAGAGGGTGAAAAGAGGGAAGAACCGTTGCTTTTATCTGAGGATATTCCCAATACATCTGTGATGGAAACAAGGGAAGATCAGGTAACAGATTTAGGTTGTGCTCTCTCTCTTTCTCTCTCTGTCCTACTCTTTCTCATTCTCCCTCCTTTAATTTAATGTTATACACTTATGTTTAGGTATTAGGGTATTAATTGCGCAGGCTGTGAAAACTGATATATGCATTTGATTTATAATTTATATTCTCATTTGTTGCTGGGTAGGGGCAATGCAGGAAGCTGATGGTTTGGATATGAAGAAATCTTGTCAAAGCACTGATGCAATTATTGATGGTCAAAAGGAACTTCCTCTGTTCAAGGTTGGTGAGAGTGATCAGTCTCTTTCAGTAATTGCTTTGGAGAAGACTAGAATTGGGGAGGAGGTATCTCATGAAGCGGAACAACTAGGCAAGTCAGTTGAATTATTCTCCTCTCTCGAGGACATTGTGTCAGATAAGCTTTCGGGTGCTGATGAAGGCCAGGGAGATGATATTGCAACTGCTGGGCCTTCTTTGAAAAATCTGGGCAGAGAAACATTACTGGATTCATCTTACGAAGAAATGCTTGTTCAGTCTAATCAAGAACAGATTAGTAAAGGGGTTCTGAGTGGACAGGATGGAGGGCTCCAGGAGGGGCTTAACCAGCAATGCACTACTGTTGGATCTGCAGTTGAGGAACCAACTCAGGAGTTGTTAATGGGAGCTCGTGAGGTTGATTCAGCCAGACCATTGGATTTCTCTCCCATTTTTGATGCAAGCTCAGTTAATCTCCTGCAGCTGGCTGAAATTGTCAAGGGGCTTAATGAAGAAGAGTATCAATTTCTGCTCAACGCAAGAGGACCAGTTTCTGATGCTCCAGATCATGACTTAGAAGCATTTAAGAGACTCAAAGAAGAATTGTTTCTTGCAAATATAATGAAAAATATATTCAACATTCAACTAGCTGAACAACTGGAGCTACAACTAGAGTCTGATAATCAGCGTTACCAGTTGATTGACAAACTATCTCAGCTCCATGCTACTCATAATGAAGTTAATGAGAAGAATCAACACCTTACTGAAGAACTTGCTAATTGCCGTGTTGAACTAGATGATATTTCTAGCAAGAGTGTAGAACTACATAACCAATGTAATACTGCCATGGCAGAGGTTGAAGCTCTTTCTGCCAGAGTAGTTGAGCTGCAGATTAGTTTTGAAATATCTCAAAAAGATTCATCAGATCTATGCACAGAGTTGGCTGAATGCAGAGGCTTGATCTCAAGTTTACAGGTTGAAAGGAAGGGCATGAATGAATCTCTTGATTTGGTGATTGCTGAGAAAAATCAACTTTTGGAGGAGAAGGAATTTCATCTATGTGAAAGTAAGAAGCTGGCATCTGAATTAGCTGACTTCAAGAGTTCAATGGAAGGAGTAAAGGTTGAAAGTTCCAACCTAACTGAAAGGATCTCTTTGGTGACTGAAGAGAGGAATAAGATCAAAGCAGAAACTGAGCATCTCTTGCATGAGATTGATAGGCTATCATTAGATTTGGTTGAAAATAAAGATTTGGTGGCAAGTCTAAAGGCAGAAAATTCCAACTTAAATGGGAACCTTGCATTGTCTGCTGATAAGATTAAAAATCTCGAAGACGAGAATCAACCAGTTGTTCTTGAGAATCAAATACTCTCTTCTCTAATTGTTTCCCTACAAGAGGAGTTATCTATAGAAAAAGGGGAACGGATGAGGTTTGAAGGTGACCTTAAAGAAGCCACAATGCGCTTGGAACAACTTTCCAAGGAAAATGTATTTCTCAATAGCACTTTGGATGAGCATAAGGCTGAGATAGAAGAAATGGGGAAAAAATACACTCAACCTCTATCTAACCTAGGAAATCAAGCACATGTTGCATGTGAACAAAGTAAGGGCCTTGAAATTGCAATTACCAATGAGTATGTGCATATGGATCAGGAGCCAGGCGAAGGTGCACTAGGGGGACCACCTGTGAATATACTTGAACACGAAATCTTTGATGATTCTCTTGGGTTTGTTTCATTGAAGACTTGCTTGGATGAGGTGGAGACAGTTTTGGTGAAGCTTGAAAAGGCAATTGATGAGTTGCATTCTCAATCAGTATCCTATGGCAGGTCTGGTGAAAAAGTTTCTTCGCCTGTGGTATCAAAATTGATACAGGCTTTTGAATCAAAAGTATATGAGGATGAGCATGAGGTAGAGGTAAGGGATTCCAGTGAAGTTCAGTCACCATCAAATGCAACCAAAGAGCAAATTGGAAACTTGAGAAAATTGCTTTCAAAGTGGAAGCTGGAAGTTCAGAGTGCGGGTGCATTGTTCAACAAGGAGAGAGATTGTAGGAAAATTGATGATGCAAAGTACAGTGATCTCAAGGACCAGTTTGAAGAATTGAAGCACCATTGTTCAGATTTGGAAGCATCCAACATTGAACTTACGGTTCAATATGAAACTGCAAAGCAACTTCTGCGTGACATTCAGGAAAAGAAATGTCATCTTGAGGAATTCTGTGAAGCTTTAAAGCAGGAAGATATCCATCTCAAAGCCAAAAATAGTGAACTTTATGAAAAGCTTGGACATTGTCAGTTAAAAATTGGTGAATTGCATACTGAAATGTATGATGTGAAACAAAGTTCAAATGAGATGGCTGCTGTTATTGGAAGTCAACTGGAAAATTTGCAGAAGGAGGTGACAGAGAGGGCAATGCTACTTGAACAAGGCTGGAATACTACTATTGCTGATATTGTTGGGTTAGTTGGGAAGCTGAATGAATCAGTTGGGGAAACTTTGTATTCAACCATCTCTTCTGACACTCATGATAGCTTGGATATCAGTCATAAGTTAGAAGTTTCTGTTAATGCAGCCACCGAAATGATTTTTGATCTTCGGAAGAAACTTGAAGCTACTTATTCAGAACATGAAATAATCTGTACGTCATATAAAGAAGTGAATTCGAAATGTGATGATCTGCTTGGGAGGAATGAATTGGCTGTTGGTGTATTGCATAAGATTTACAGTGACCTGAGGAAACTTGTGCTCATTAACGGTGGCTTTATGGATGAAGATAAGGTAGATGTTCAAAGTGAGGCACTGCCTGATCTACTGAACTATAATAGCTATCAGACCATCCTGAAACATGTAGAATATTTATTGAATGAAAAGCTGGAACTAGAGTCTGTTGCTACAACGATGAAGTCAGAATTGATGCACAGGGAAACAGAATTGGAAGAAATGAAGATGAAGTGTCTTGATTTAGATTCTGTTAGTAAACTAATTGAAGAGGTTGCGGGCGTGCTGAATGTGGAAAATTTGAAGATCGAAATGAATAAGTCGCCCCTTTCATGCTTAGGTTCATTAGTGTCTAGTCTTGTACAGAAAACCAGAGAGGCTGAAATCCAGTTACATACAACTAAAGAAGGCTATGGATCTAGTGACATGGAATTGGCTGAATTGAAGGAAAAAATCCATTATCTAGACAAACTACGTCTTGAGAATGAAAATGAAATCCTTGTTCTCAAGGAAAGCTTGCATCAGGCGGAAGAAGCTCTTGCTACTGCTCGTTCTGAATTACACGAGAAAGCAAAAGAACTTGAGCATTCAGAACAGCGGGTTTCCTCCATCCGGGAGAAACTTAGCATAGCTGTTGCCAAGGGAAAAGGGTTGGTTGTGCAGCGGGATGGTCTCAAGCAGTCCCTGACAGAGACATCCAGTGAATTGGAGAGATGCTTGCAAGAGTTGCAGTTTAAAGATACAAGACTTCATGAAGTTGAAACAAAACTCAAGACCTATGCAGAGGCTGGTGAGCGTGTGGAAGCTCTGGAATCTGAGCTTTCATATATTCGTAATTCAGCTAATGCTTTGAGAGAGTCATTTCTTCTTAAAGATTCAATGCTTCAGAGGATAGAAGAAGTTTTGGAAGACCTAGATCTGCCAGAGCAGTTTCATTCAAGAGATATAATTGAAAAAATTGATTGGTTGGCTAGATCAGTTGCTGGCAACTCATTGCCCGTTAATGATTGGGAGCAGAAGGATTCTGGGGGAGGAGGCTCATACAACTCATTGCCCATGAATGATTGGGAGCAGAAGGATTCTGCGGGAGGAGGCTCATATTCTGATGCTGGTTATGTTGTCATGGATTCCTGGAGAGATGACAGTCAGGTACAACCAGATTCTATCTCCAGTCAGGTACAACCAGATTCTCTCTCCGGTCAGTTACAACCAGATTCTGGGGATGATTTTAGAAAAAAGTTTGAGGAGTTGCAAAGTAAGTATTATGGGCTGGCTGAGCAAAATGAAATGCTGGAGCAGTCATTGATGGAAAGAAACAGCTTAGTTCAGAGATGGGAAGACCTTGTAGACAGGATTGATATGCCTTCACATTTACGGTCTATGGAGACGGAGGATAGGATTGAATGGGTAGGAAGAGCACTTGCTGAGGCTAATCATCATGTAGATTCTCTGCAGTTGAAGATTGAAAAATATGATAGCTATTGTGGATTGCTAAATGCTGACCTGGAAGAGTCTCAAAGGAGAGTGTCTGCTCTTCATGCAGACCTTAGAGCTCTTACATCTGAGAGAGAGCACCTTTCTGAAAAAATGGAGGCTCTGATATATGAATATGAGAAACTATCAGTGCAGAGAAGGGAAGCTGAACTTGAGAATGAAAAGCTGCATAGTGAAGTAACTAGTTTGAAGGATGAATTGGAACAGAAAGCTGCAATTCAAGCAGACCTTAGAGCTCTTACATCTGAGAGAGAGCACCTTTCTGAAAAAATGGAGGCTCTGGTATATGAATATGAGAAACTATCAGTGCAGAGAAGGGAAGCTGAACTTGAGAATGAAAAGCTGCATAGTGAAGTAACTAGTTTGAAGGATGAATTGGAACAGAAAGCTGCAATTGAAGAACAAGTTTCCACCCTTGATGACAAGATCAGAAAATTGAGAGACTTAGTTGGTGATGCCTTGTCAGAATCTGAAACAGAGAATATGGTTTCTGGTAGTACAGATATTGATTCCTTGGAAGAACTTCTGAGACAGCTCATAGAAAAGCATGCAAGTCTTTCATCAAAGAAACCTACATACGGGGTTGTCCATGATGGGCACAATTCACAAAGAGATGATGCTACTCTTCTTGAGGAAAGAAGTATAGATATGCATGATAAGGAGAAGGCAGATATTGATAGATATAAAAGAGATCTAGAGGAGGCTTTGAGTGGATTGGTGCATATGAAGGAGGAGAGAGATAGAACTTTGGAAAAGCAAATATCATTATCCAGTGAAGTTGAAGCTCTGAGTAAAAGAACTGAGGAGTTGAAAGAGCTTCTTAATCAGGAGGAGCAGAAGTCAGCTTCTGTTAGAGAGAAATTAAACATTGCAGTCAAGAAAGGGAAGTCATTGGTGCAACAACGAGACAGTCTAAAACAAACCATTGAAGAGATGAGTATTGAGATGGAGCACTTAAAATCTGAGATCAACAACCAGGAACGTATACTTGCAGATCATGAACAGAAGTTGAGACAGTTGTCAACCTACCCAGATAGGTTAGAAGCTCTTGAATCTGAGCGTTTGCTTCTGAAGAATCACTTGGAAGAAACAGAGCACCATTTACAGGAGCAAGAATATTCTTTAAAACTGATTTTGAACGCGTTAGGTGAGATTGAGGTTGGTGGTGAAGGTCATATAAGTGATCCGGTGAAGAAGTTAGAATGGCTTGGGAAACTATGCTCTGATCTGCATGGTGCTGCGGCTTCTTTAGAACAAAAATCCAGGAAATCTGAAAGAGCATCAGAGCTCCTCTTGGCAGAGTTGAATGAGGTTCAAGAAAGGAATGACAGTTTTCAGGAAGAGCTCACAAAGGTGGCAGCTGAACTTGAAGATCTCAGAAGAGAAAGGGATTCAGCTGAGGCTGCCAAACTGGAAGCTCTTTCACATCTCGAAAAATTATCAGCCTCGCGTGAGGAGGGAAAAAAGAGCCATTTTTCTGAGATCATGGAATTAAAATCCAGCATGAATCAAATTTGCAAAGGCTTTGGTGAGGTTCAGAATTTACTAGCTAATGCTTTTTTCATGGATTTGGAATCTTTTCAGAATCTGGAGGCCTGTCTTGAGTCATGTATGAAAGTAAACAATGCTGATGTGGTGGTTTCATCTGTCACCAAAGAGCATGATAGCATTTTACGCAGGGCATATGATAACAAGGTATTAATACAACATGGATACTCAACTAGTCATTTTTCACGTGGTCTATTATGAGAATGAGATATAGGAATTAGAACATAAATGTAATTGGCTGATATGTGACAATGATGTGTTAGCTTAATTTCTTGTACTAATTTTTTTTTTTTTTTGGGTTGGTGTTTTTTTTTGCCGGGGGGGGGGGGGGGGGGGGGGGGTGTGTGTGATCTGTGTTGTTGCATTATGTGCTATTTCAATGTTCTATTGATATATGATCATTGCTGTTCTCTGATGTATCTGCTTCCAGCCAAATGCATCTTTTTCAATGTTGGTCTTTTGTGCTTACGTATGTTATGGGACAAGGTTGTGTTCATGCCTCTGTTTGATGTTCTGTGACTGGTTATTTCAAGGGAGTTTCCTTGTCTGAGATGCTGAGCGAAGCAACAGCTTTGTTGCATCTTTGAGATCTTTAGGCTCATATTTTTTTATGTTTTCTTGTTGTTTCTGTTTCCTCAACCCTCATTCCATTATGTCATCTTTTTAAAAGAAAAATTATTTGATATAGAATTTTTTTAAATGAATGCTGACTTTTCAAACTAGAACAAATTGAGCAGTTGAGATATTTGTTGCCGAAAGATTAGTTTGGTTTTCAAGTTTTGGTGCTTATTTGTTGGTATCTTGTTGCCATTACTTTTTTTAGCAAAGTGAGATATATTTTAATGTGCTTTTATTAAGGTTTGAAAAAATTTCTTTGATTAATTGGAAATTTGGGTGCATTATTTTCTTAACATTTAAGTCTGTAATTGGAGGCGGAAGGTATTTATATTTTATATGGAATGTTGCAACTGTAGTTCCAACACACAAACTCTCTGCTCATGCTCATGTTTTAAGTTGATGACTCGGTTTGTCTCATTGTATTAATTTTTCAGCAAGGTGTAGTTGCATTTCTTGTTATTATTATTTTGCATAATATGAATTATTTTTCTTTCTAAATACTTGTCTCATTTCTTCTCCAGAAGAGCTCTTTGTCTGCAGATTCTTGGTCAGATTTGGACACCATTGACCACTTTGATGATAATACCGTTATTCGAATTTTTCGTATATTTGGGCATCAGCTGCAAGAGTTCTTGGTGGAGGTTGGTTCTCTTAAGGAAAGAATAGACATGCACTCAAGTTTAGCAGAGGAGCAAGACAAAACTATATCTAAATTGATGGCAAGTGTTCAAAGGGAAATAACTTCCCAAAGAGAGTCATATGAAACCATGAAGAAAGAAGTTAGTGAACGAGATGGGGAACTTGTTGTATTACGTGGGAATATTGCCTTCCTTTATGAAGCATGCATTAATTCTGTGATTGTACTTGAAAATGGAAAAGCTGAACTGGTTGGAAAGAAGGTTGAATCTTCTGATCTAGGGATTAACATGAAAACACCATTTGATGATGGAATATCTGAGGAATGTATTAAAACCATGGCAGATAGACTGCTGTTGGCTGCAAAAGGGTTTGCTAGTATAAGAACTGAATTTTCAGATGCTAATCAAAAGGAATTGAAGGGTATTATAACAAATTTGCAAAGAGAGCTTCAGGAGAAGGATGTTCAAAGAGACAAGATTTGCTCAGAGCTGGTAAAACAGATTAAGGATGTTGAAGCTGCTGCAAACAGTTACTCTCAAGATCTTCAATCTTTTAGGATTCAAGAACATAATTTAAAGAAACAGGTGGAAGTGACTGAGGCAGAGAGGAAGATACTGGAACAGAGAGTGAATGAGCTGCAAGATATGCAAGGGACTGCAGCTGAATTAGGGGAGAAAGTGAGATCTCAGACTGATTTGCTGGCTGCCAAAGACCAAGGTGGGCTTTGTGTGATTCCTTGTGTCTTTAAAGAAGTAAACTTGTAATATTTCTTTTATAAATGAGAACTAACAATATTTCTGGAACTTGATGGTTTATTTTGCAGAAATTGAATCGCTAATGCATGCACTTGATGAGGAAGAGATGCAAATGGAAGAATTGACAAAGAAGATTGTGGAACTTGAAAAGGTTGTTCAACAAAAGAATCAAGAGATTGAGAACCTTGAATCATCTCGTGGTAAGGTTATGAAAAAGCTTTCCATAACTGTAAGCAAGTTTGATGAGCTTCACCACCTGTCTGCAAGTCTCCTTTCCGAGGTTGAAAAGCTTCAATCCCAATTGCAAGAAAGAGATGCTGAAATTTCTTTCTTGAGGCAAGAGGTTACTAGATGCACTAATGATGTTCTTCTTTCTTCACAAATGAGCAACCAGAGAAGTTCCGATGAGATCTTTGAGTTCTTCATGTGGGTTGACATGATTGTATCTCGAGATGGGATGCATGATATACATCCTGATGTGAAGAGCAATACTCAGGTTCATGAATACAAAGAAATACTTCAAAAAAAGCTGGTGTCTTTATTATCAGAATTGGGGAATCTAAGGGCAACTGCAGAAAGCAAGGATGCAATGTTGCAAGTAGAAAGGAGTAAGATAGAAGAATTGAACCGCAAAGCAGAAACTCTTGAGATGTCCTTGCATGAGAAAGAATTGCAATTGAATTTGCTTGAAGGTGTGGAAGAAACTGGAAAGGAAGCTGGCACAAGCTCAGAAATTTTGGAGGTAGAACCAGTGGTGAGGAAATCAATTATTTTTATATTAGTTGAACCTCAGTAGGACAAGAATCTTATATTTAATCCAGATTAAATAAAAATAGTATTTGAACTGGATCTTCAATTGGAATAAAACATGAAATATAAAATTGTGCATTAACTTGTCATGATTAGCGACATCCTCATTATATTCTCATCAATTCAGTCAAATATATTCTATCAGTATGAAAGTTTGGTTTTATTGTAGAGTTATCTTGGTTATGATCTGTAGCTTTTCTCCTCTGACACATCGCATTTGTACTCAGATTAAATATGATAGTTAACATTCACTTTTCAAAACAAAATAAATAAAACTATTGTGTATGAGTAGTGATGAAAGGAAATTAAAAATATTTTCTTTTGTGGTCAACATGTTCGATTTGCATTTGAAGGGATTGAATTTATTTGGCTTTTTCAATAGATGAATGAGTGGACGGCAACAGGGGCATTTTTAACACCTCAAGTTCGCAGTTTGCGCAAGGGCAATAACGATCATGTTGCCATTGCTGTAGATGTAGACCCTGGTAGTACTAGTAGGATAGAAGATGAAGAGGACGACAAAGGTGATTCTGCACTACTTATCCTGTGTACAGGCTTCCGGTGCTTTCAGCAACACCCTATAGTTCCTTTTATTTAATTCTGGTTTTCCCCACTTTTTGTTGCAGTCCATGGTTTCAAATCACTCACATCATCCAAAATTGTCCCAAGATTTACGAGACCTTTGACTGACTTGATTGATGGCTTGTGGTAGGTATATTTTTCTGTGTTCAATGGTTTTAGATTTATTTTAATTTGATGTATGGCTTGCATTATTTTTGTGCAGGGTTACTTGTGATCGGACTCTGATGAGACAACCTGTCTTGCGGCTTGGAATTATACTTTATTGGGCCATAATGCACGCACTCCTAGCCTTTTTTGTTGTTTGAGGTGAGAGGCCCTCATTTGGCTGATGCTCGGAGTTGGCTTTGTATAATTAATTGGCCTACTTTATAAAACCCTAAGCGGGGCACAGGAGGTGCCACCTTATTGATTGGGGATAGTGCTGAATCCAATTATACTTGAAAAAAGGAATCAGTTTAGTTGTACAGTATCTCCCTTCCTTTCGCTTCTTCCTGTTGCAGTGTGAGGCAGTTACCTATAAACTGTAATAAAACGAGAGATGAAGCTTCCGGAAAGAGTAACAGGCAGCAATGAAGAAAAGATGCGAAAGCAGATTGCTCAATATTTCAAAACCAATGGATGAAGAACCTGCTACATAAACACCCTAGTTGGTGGTTGTTGTAAAGAACTTGATGCCTTTTACCTTCAACGAAATCAACATTGACTATCTTTTACAGGGATAGTCCCTGTACCTTAGGAGTCTTGGGTTCTGATGAGCAGGATAAATGACCAGTTAGGTATAGAAAATCATAATTCTTTTGTACTTTGATTAAGGTTTTTTATCTGCTTAGCCATAAGAAATTTCGCAGTTGCCATTCTTTTTTGTATTCATAGCATCATTATAAAGTATTTGGCAGTTTTCATGCATTAAAAAATATATATACATGAAAACCCAGAATGTATTTAGATTTTGACCCCAATACATTCTTGTGTCGTTTGCTTCAAAGTAGTAAATCAGCGTTCATTTTCTCCCAATGCTTTTCTTAGGGTGGGGGATTAGTGCAGGCATTAGCTGATAAGATCTTGTTAAATTTACTATTGTTCAAACTGATCAATATATGTATAGCAATTCTGTTTCACAAAATCTGCTCGATGTATCAAAAGGAAAGATCTAGAAAGCATTAATGGTGCATAATAGATTAAAGATATAAAAAGAAGGTAAAAAATTGCACTGTGTGATGATTCAATCTACGTAACACACATTTATTTATTTTATTTTTTATGTACTAGTTAGAGTTCATCTTAAAAAAGTTGGCTTGATTGAAAAAGTTCCTTGTGGCCCCAGATTAGATTATATTAGAAACTAAAACAAGTCGCAAGCTATACCTTAATTACTGATAAAATCAATTCAACATCAACAACACCAAATTAATTGGAGTCGGTGGTAGATAAACCCACATGAAAGATACAAAACGGTTGAAAAAAGGTTAAAAAAAATAAAAAAATAAAAAAATAAAAAGTAAAAAAGTAAAAAAGCCAAAAATAAATAAATAAAAATAAACAAATAAAATAAAAATATAAAATAAGATAAAATAAAATAACAATATATGTATATATAAATAAATAAAAGTAAAAAAGAAAGGGACAAGAAGAAGTGGGGGAAATGAAGGGGGAAATGACTAAAAAGGGACCATCTGGAACATAGGAATAACAGCGGGTCTAACCCTCCACCATACTTATAGCTTTTCTCCATTCCGTTCTAAGACATACTGTCCGCCAATCTATATCTCACTCCATTAAATCTTGTTTTACTACTTTCCCCCAAGTAATATAACATAATTTTTTTAGTTTACATGAGATAATAAATTAATTTTTAAATTATAGTTAAAAAGAACTTCACTCCATTTAGGCTAAGATTCTTTCTCAAAGTCACTCGTACCTTAAAATCAATATTTTTTATAGTTTTGCTAAAATAATATAATTTTCAATACTTAGCACAGGAAAATACAAACATTTTTATGACAAAAAAAATATTTTTTGAATATCAAAACAAATTTAATTAGGATAAAAGGCAATCATTTCCCCATATTTATTTGGTAAAGCGATCAACATTGCAGAATAGAGATGTAAAAGTTTCAGGTGGACTTTTCCATCACCCAAATAAGATTTGAATAACACTACTTATATCTGAATATAATTACAGATATTATTCACTTTCTTTTTTTGGCACTAAAAAAGGAAAATGAGTAAAAAAAATTTTGGTATAACCTGAAAGATATTTTTATTCAATTTTTTTCGGTCACCTTGTCCTTGGAGTACGGTTCTAAGGCTACCCCTCAATAGAACAACGGGTGCATTGAGTTTCGCTACCGAAGAAAGGATGAGACTAATTCTCCATTCGAGAAAAGAGGCACGTCCTCTGGCCTCCAAAGATTTTTCAAAAATTTGCTTGTGACAGAGTTTGAACCCTGACCGATGCAAATCCTTAGAAGGTCAGTTGTTGGAGGTTGAAAATGAGTAAAATTTTACACCACTCATATACATCCGTATTTTGGAGATTGAACATTCGTGAATGAATAGAAGTTTCATTCATCGTGCTTTTGTTGTTACAGTAAGGTTACAGATTTATAATATCATGTAAATTATTTATCATTAATTCACTTAGTATCTCAAAAGTATACAGAGTTTTAAAATCATGGCAACCAGCTCATCCATCATTTAGTGAATCCCATTGGCAAAATACCAATAATTTTTCTTGCATGTAAACTACAATGTAAATCCATAACATTATAAAAAGAAGGGGAAAATAATTCTCATGTTGTAGAAGAATTATTTCTCCTACTATAGACACAAGATACGATGGGCCCCACCATCCATTAAAAAAAAGTTGTGGCAAGCAATTTGATGTTTCAGTGGGAGAAATAATTCTCTTACAACATAAGAAAAGGACCCTAAAAAGAATATGGTGACTATATAAATTGCAGAAAGAACAGTGAACAACATATAAACCTATATTTGAATTCTTACAATCAGCCTTCCAAACAAAAATTTAGATACAAAGGTCAAATGAAAAATGCAAAAGCTGTTAAGATCTTCAAGTTTTCTTGTTCGGCTCAAAGACAAACTTGATAATGGAATCTTTGATGGACAACAATTCAGGGAACTCATTTTTGAGCTTGGAGGCATCCATTTCATTGTTACTCCTTGGAGCAACTATTACCTTTGCCTGTTCTTCCAAATTAAAGTTTTCCCATTTAAATTGAGGATCTATGTAATCCCTGTATAATTCTAATATCTCATTGTGGCTTATGACACCTGGGTTGGTGAAGTTCCATATCCCTCTTAAGTTCCTCTTAGCCATCTCAATTGATATAGGTAAGAGCTCATCTAGCACTGTCATGCTATTAGGTATGTTCACCACTTTGTTGTAACGACTAATCTTTGTGATGAAGTTTCTTGGATTGCTAAGATCTGATGATATTGGCATTCTAACTCTCAATGTGCAGACATTATCATAATCTTTTAGGAGGTCCTCCACCTGCATGATGTGTTTTGCCATGTTCTTAAATGGGATAAACATTGCAAGAAAATATGCATGATGTGATTTCATGGTTGAAAATTTCCCAATTTCTTAATAGATAATTGTTAATTGAGTGTGAGGCTTGACATGACAAAGATGACCATGTTTGTTGGTAGAGACAAAACCCTACCATGTCATAATGTGGTTGTGGTATTTGTGGATAAAGCACAGGTAAGTCAATAAAGTGTCAAACAGGAAAGAGTAACAAGCCAGTTAAATCTTAATAAATTAGATCAATGATACTACTATAACTAAGAAGAAGTGGAAATTTCAGACATACCATGGCCTTGGTCTTTGAATAGAAGGAACCAGTGAAATTTGGCTTGTCCTCCTCCTTGAACCCAATGCCTGATCCTAGAGGATGCTCTTTATCATACTCAAATATGCAACCAGTTGCAAAATTCATCATATATAAGCCATGTTCCCTGCAAACATCAGCCAGAGTTAACGTGCCCACTACATTAGTCCTTATTGTCTCAACTTTGTGTGATTCACACCAATCAACATTTGGCCTTCCTGTAACACCAGCTGCACTTAACACATGAGTTGGCATTACCCTGCTTATATCCTCCATAAGTGATTTCCTGTCTTGTAGTCTTCCTTTCCCATACTCCCAAGCAATTCTCTCTTCATCACAAAGCTTTCCTAACAACCCTCCTATCCAACCTGTCCTCCCATATATGAGGAATTTCAATCCTGAATTACTGCGACCGATTTCAGTAAATGACCTCACCAGCCTTGAGTATCCATATTGAAAGGACCATTGAGCTAATTCATCAGAGAGATTGATAGCTGAGAAACGTGGATGTGGGTTTAAAGCAGTAGACACATCACCCCACCAATCAGGGTTCTTTTTGTACCAATCAATTGTCATCTTAAGTCCTTCCTCCCAAGGAGTTCTCTCCTCCCAACCAAGCTGCTTGAGCTTTTGATCATTAAGGAAATATCTCTTGTCATTGAAAGGCCTATCTTGAACAAACTCAATAACTTCTTTAGGATTCAATTCAAAGAGCTTGCAAATGTCCTCTGCTACATCTAACACACTCCTTTCCTTCTGAGTGCCAATATTGTAGATTTGGCCAATCACTCCCTTATGAAGTATGACATCAAATGCTTCTGCCACATCCCCACAATGAAGGTAGCTCCTCACATTGGATCCATCACCATGGATTGGCAATTTCTCACCTTTCATAGCACGAAGAATGAATTTAGGAACAAGCTTTTCTGGGTACTGGTTAGGCCCATAAACATTATTGCCTCTAGAAGTTAAAATTGGAAGACCATAGGATCTATGGTAAGCCATGGCCAACATTTCTGCACCTGCTTTTGTTGCAGAATAAGGATTGGTGGGTAAGAGTTGAGATGCCTCATGATTTCCAATATCAGTCTCCAAATCAGTTTCACCATAAACTTCATCAGTGCTAACATGTATGAACCTTTTAACACAATTGGTGACCCTGCAGGCTTCAAGAAGCACATGGGTGCCATATATATTATTGTAGGTGAATTCCAAGGAGTTTCCAAACGAATTATCAACATGGGTTTGAGCAGCAAAGTGCATAATGGTGTCTATTTCCTCTTCTATCAAAATATGATTCACAATATCAGCACTAGCTATATCACCCTTAATGAATTTGAACTTTGGTGATGAAGTGCAAGACTGCAGATTCTTGAAAGTAGAACAATAGTCTAGCTTATCAAGAGCTACAATCTTGTAGCTAGGGTACTTGTTAATTAGCCTGGTAGTGACATGTGAAGCAATGAAACCAGCTGCTCCAGTTATGAGTATATTTTTTGGTTCATATATGCCAGGTTTTGATGACATCTTTCTTCTATGATTTGCTATATCTGCAATGTTCTATTACTGAACAAAAGAATCAAGGATTAATCACAACCCCAAAAAAAATAAAAAAATAAGGCATGACCTCCTGTAATAGAAAGGAATGTGAACAAAATAAACATATCAAGTAAGTAAAAATTTCTAGTAAGGGGCTAGGTCTGAAAATTTAAGAGATGAACATGGTATTGTTAATCAAAATTGACAATGCACAAAAAGTACCTATTTCACTTATTTAGGACATGCACATAACACTTTTGAGAATGCTCCTAGGTATACAATAAAAATGAGATTAAAGAAAAAAGGTAAAAGTTTTTATTCATGATTGTAATGCCTTAAGGAAGAGCAAAAACATAGAGAGACATTTTACTTACATTGAAGTTTTGTGGTTTGTTCATGGGATGGTGGCAGCGATTAGTGTGTGCAATGATCAGAAAAGAAGAGAGAGAGAGAAACGGGTAATGTTTGTTGGAGAATAACCGGGTCTCTCTCATGTTCTACTAGGGGCTATAACTTCAAAAACGTGGACTATGATCCGATAATTGTTTTAATTAAATGCTTAATTTGGTTTTCAAAAGGTCCCTCTCTCATCTTTTGATCTCTCAAGGCCATGAGCCTAATTTTAGGACTTTAAAAAATGTACTTTACAAATGATTGAGTGTTAAAAAGGAAAGGCTATGAATGGGTACAACTAAATAGTACATCATAAGAATTAGGGTATAAAATTATCAATAATTAAACAAGTGATGGGTACCTTATTATTGCTAAAAATTTACCTTTCATTGTTTCTCTATCGTGACTCGAAAGCAAGCTTTTGTATTGCTATGACACCAATAAGTATGTGACTAAAATAAAGTGGAATTACTTTTGGATAATTTAACTAATTGTTACATAAACTATCTAGGAAAATTATCAATATACTGAAGTAATTATAACTTCAGTTGTTTTTATAATTCATAAATCTAAAATATGATCATGTTATGCTAGTTACTCAAAACATATATATATATATATATATATATATATATATATATGAGGTAGGATCTTTGATACCTGTATCAAATTTTAAATTTGACACTTCATCTGAGAGCCGTTAGATCAAAAAAGATCAATGGTGTCACATGCTTACAAATCAGAGTCGTTGATCTTTTTTGATCTAATGGCTCTCAGATGAAGTGTCAAATTTCAAATTTGACACTGGTGTCAAATGATCCTACCCCTCTATATATATATATATGGTTCGCTTTTTCTGCAGTTACTGCAGATAAGTTATCTGTAGTAAGCCCAATATGATGTCATTTTGGGATGGAAATCATGGTGTTTTTGTAATTTTAATTTATTTCAGGGTTATAATAGTATTTATATTTATAATTTTTTAAGATTTCAATACCAAAACGACGTCGTTTTGAGAATAAATGCAGATAACTTATCTGCATTAACTGCAGAAATATTTTTCCCATATATATATACGAGGAAGGTTATACTTACAACTTTTTTTCTTACAACCTCTTACAGCCACATCTTAACACCGTTGATTGCTGCCAATCAACGGTTATCATTTATTGTGAATTAATAATTAATTAATGAGTTTAATTTGCGAAAATCATAATTGTTGATTGCGAAAATCAACGGTGTTAAGATATGATTGTAAGAAGTTGTAAGAAAAAAAATTTGTAAGTATAACCTTCCTCTATATATATATGTAAATGTTTTTCTCATGTTGTAAGAAAAAAAATTGTCTCATGCTACACACAAAAAAAGTGGGTGGAATCCACTTTTTTCGTTTCTCTCTCCTTTTCTTAGTGGATCCTATCCACTTTTTTGTATATAGCATGAAGACAATTTGTGTCATGCAACATAAGAAAAATATTTTCCAAATATATATATATATATATAAGGTCCTACAAATTACTGTCTCTTTTCTAGTCAGCGTTGATGGCGAAGATGTTGATTCCTTCTACAATATGGATACGGTCTTCAAAGCATGTAATGTAACCTATTTGAACTCATCACAGTTTGGATAACTAGAGCTAAGGTTTGTCTAAATTTTTTTCTATCAAAGTGAATTGTTTTATGGTAAGATTAGATTTGTTTTCCTTGATAGGGTAAAGTATTTAGATATTAATAGGTTGTGATATAGACCAAAACTCTATGATAAAAGTCACCGTGAGTATCTCACGCGAAAACTGAGAGAGAAAGAGGGAGAGAGAATGATGTTAAGACTACGGTGGCTTTGTATTTTGGGAGATTAATTGTTCATAAACAATATATTCAAGATGCCTCTTCAATGGCTAAAGAGGAGTATATGTAAAATTATATTCCCTAATCATAAGAGAAAGTCATAATTGTTTTGCACTATATACCCCACTGTTTGCAGAAGGCAAGCGCACCCACAATGCATGGTGTGAGGTGTGCTGGTTTAGGGGATAAGATTTTCTACTATAAGAATCTAAAAGTCTCACGTTAAAAATACAAGAGGGTGACCCTTTAAATGAGCTTGAATAGCTTACCCATAGAATTGGACAGTGTGGCCGGTCCAAAAAAAATGTATTATAACAATATAATTAAATATAAAATTTCCAAAAATATGATTCTCCCAGCTATATGAAGCTATACAAAATACTTCAATGACATCATGAACACACATTGCAATTATACAACAATACTAAGATAATTGTGGAACAGTAAGCAAATATTAGTGTTATGGACCCGTACAAGGGGTCCATTGAATGACAGACTCAATAATGAGCAATCCAAGATGTGAATCAATTATAATCACAGATAGTATCCATCAAGAATACCAATCCTAATACGACAGCATAGCGAGCAGGTTTGGGCCCCGTCAGAGGCACCAAAGGCCCATATCATACTACCCACATGTCATCTCTATAAATACAAGGTAAACTCTAAAGGTACGTTACGTTATCTCTCTTACTGTTATGCTGGTGTAAATGGGCTGGGGTCTTCCTTGCCCAAGCCTACGTAAAAAAAAATTCAGCCTATCTGGCCTACTGGTCTATCAAAGGCTTTTTTGTAGGCCAAGCCTGGCCTATTTTTAAAAATAAGAAAGCCTGACATGGCCTACAGGCCTTGTAGGCCTACCACTATAGATACTAAGCAAAGAAAATAATTGTATAGAGCAAAGAAAGTTTCATTCATGAATGCACTAGTACTTCTCATAAGGAAAAAATAACAAACAAGAAAGAGTCAACATAATACCCAGCTTTAGAATGTATATCATAGAGGAATAGAGTCAAAGAAATGGGGAAAATAATAAAAATACAATTATTGGGTGCTGAAATAAAGTCTACAAGAGAATGTCATTCATCTAAAAATTAGGGTTGGTATTGGTACTTTGCCATGCCATATAAAATAAATATTATTTTATTTTTAATAAATTAAATAGGCCAGCCTACAAGGCTATAGCCAGGCTTGACAAAATTGGCCTACGGCCTATTTGTAAAAAAAGCTTTCTTAAAAGCCTAAGCTTACTCTACTTTTCTGAAAGGTCGGACCAAGCCAGGCTTAATGTAGGTCGGGCTGGGCCAGCCTGACCCATTTACACCCCTAGCTGTCACTGTGCGCGCACACACACACCTTTGGCTAACGTCGTTAATAGTCTATTGTGCACAATGATCTGCTTGACTCAATGGTGTCTCTTCCATAGATACCTTGGAGAGGGCACTAAATCCAAGATTAACTTATCAGTCTATTGGGTTGGACATCTCTGTCTCCAAGATAGAACAATTAGCAATAATAATAACTGTCTTTATTAGCAATAACAATAAACTGTGAGAAAATTTGAGTAAATAAATAGTTACTGCCTTTATTGTTGCACTTTCTTTACTAGGTCCTTTTTACTATCCAACTGAGATCACCTTCGCACTTAGAAGATCACACCTCACTATAATCACGTCCTCCATAAGAGGTTTACCTACCCTTTTGAAGGAAAATTATTTGAGTGTAATTTCTCATGTTACAGGACATGTAACTTCTTCGGGTGCTCTCACATGAACAATGTATCACTCTTTTTTATTTTATTTTTTAAAAAATAAACTGTGGGGCCTACTACATCTATCTTAGCAGGAAACAAGGCTCTTCTCCAACAGCTGGAGAAGTATAAAACCCATATTATATATATGCATATATATAGGCAGGATCATCTTACACCGGTGTAAGAATAATAAATCTTACACCAAATCTTAACCATTGATTTTCTACATCTAACGGTTAAGATTTATTAGGTCTCACTCATTAATTAATTTTTAATTCCCAATAAATCTCAACCATTGGATGCACGGAAATCAATGGTTAAGATTTGGTGTAAGATTTATTATTCTTACACCGGTGTAAGATGATCCTGTCTCATATATATATATATATATATATATATATATATATATATATATATATATATGTATGTATATGTGTGTGTATGTTTTGAAACAATGTATATTCACAAAACTTTAAGCATAATTGAGAAATCCTTTAAAGTCCCCCCTTCCAAACATATAGAATAAAAGTCCAAATTCCTCACAGATAGTTTAGAAGTCAAGTGCGTAGGTGCTGAGTAAGAAGCGTTTAATGAGTTAGTTAGCACGAAAACAAGATATATATATATGAAGTTGTTAGGTTATGTAAGCAAACATTGATCCTGAAAGTCAAAATTGAAGAGTAATGGAAATAAACAGATACTTTTAACGTGGAAAACCCTTTTAATGTGAAGAGTAAAAATCATAGGACCAGATTTGAACTATCCCACGTGGGATTATAGACCCAACCAGTAAAAGGACTAAGAGGCCAAACGACCATTATTTCCATGAGAAGGAAACACAACTATCCCGCTTACCTTGGCAATTCTATAAACACTTTGACACACGACATTAGTTTTTCAGTCGATTACGGCCACACGATATCAGCTGCTCAGAACTCTACTACCCCTTTTAATAGCCAGTGGCTAGAGGACATACACATGCTTATGGCACCTACATGGTATAGCTCGACATTAGGCATCTTGTGCATGAGATCGCCTGCAAAGGCCATTCCTCCCCACCGATAAGAATAAACAACGCCACACTAAGGCAGCATAACCAGGTCGCTCAACTACTATATATACAGAGGTAATAAACCCAGGTATGATCATTTATCTATTTAGACCTGACCACATAAAATATCTACTGAGAGCATTAGAGTGTTTTGTTAGTACCTCCATTTGTCTCTCCAATCAATATCAAGTTGTAGAGACAGACCTCCCATCCTGTGGTGCATCTCGCTGCTTAGACATATATCTCGCAAGAGTTTCATCCTGTAGCACCAGCTCCAACAAAGACCCAGACACCCAATGGGCTGGGCTGAATTGTGTGTGATCCAACTCAATAGTTATTGGACTGAGCATGACCTAATCTAAAAAATTATCCATTATACAAAGTAGGATTACAAGATGATGTTCTTCTCTAGTACAATGCTAGAGGTTTACTCTTAATTCGTCACTCCTCAAGATGGATTGCAATTTTTTCTCTCTCATAATGAGGAATATTATCTCTTCTTGTAAAAGGATTTCTTTATATATATATATATATATATATATATATATATATATATATATATATATATATATATATTAGTAAGAGTTATTTTCTAAGCATGGAGACTTGCAGTTATTTATCTTCCCAGCAATATTTTACCTTCGACCAAACATAGACCTAGGGCATTTAAATCAATTTTTTGGTTATATTTTGGCCTACCAAACAACTTTTTTTTTTAACTTTTTCAGTAAATTCACTTTTCCACCATATTCTCAATAATTGTGATTCACATATAATTTTTTTTCTCCTCTACCAAACGCTCCTAGGAATATTCAAAAGTTGAACATGAAGGACATCAAAACTTGGACCCTAAAAAATAAGGCCATAACGAGTCCATGTGCAAAATAGGAAGAAGTTGTTCATGTGCCATAATCACTAATTAGTTAGCAACAATTTAGATCTTGATTAAAATTAATCATTGTCATTCATGTTACACCGACACTTCAAAAAAATTAAAGTATTGTGTCCGACACTTTCCAACACTTGACACTCTCCGACATCTATAATATTTGAAATTTCATTACATATCATGAAAAAAAATTGATCGATGTTTTACCAAACTGATATAATAAAAATTAAAAATGAAAAACGAATAAATTTTTCTGCAATGGCCAAGAAATTTTCAATTTGAAAATATAATAGTAAAAATTTATATTTTGTGTTTCTTTACAATATTGATAAGTATTATAAATTTAGTTTTATTTTTTTTATATTATTGAATATTAAATATAATATACGCTATATAAATGAAAAATAATATTTAATATCAAAATGTGTCCTAACATATCAAAATCTATTATTTTATAAAATTAATGTGTCGAAGTATCGTGTCTAATATCCCATGTTGATGTCGGTGCAAAATAGATCGTCACAACTCACAACAACTATGGTTAAATTAAGGGAAATATAAGAATCATGTTGCAGGAATGACACTGTTCATTCCTGCAACAAGGATACGGCGTCGTATCCTAAGGATACGGCGTCGTATCCTGATTTTGGTTTAATTTTTTTTTTTTAAGCGTGGAACCCACACTTAATTTGTGTGTGTAAAAAAATGCTCTTGTCATGTCAAATGATAAAAAGGGAACCCTTAAATTAATCCCCATAATGCTTAAGTGTAAAAATTACACCGAACAAATAAGTGTATATTTTTATATTAATTTGATAATATTTATATATTTTTACCCATGTTTGGTCAGTCACCGTTTGGCCTACATGCTTTCTAAAATAGAAAAATAAAAATAAAATAAAAATGGACAAAGCAAACGTGTCCTTAATATTAATATTAATAGAGATAGGATTCTTTGACACCAGTGTCAAATTTGAAGTTTGACACCTCATCTAAGAGCTGTTAGATCAAAAAAATCAATGGTGTCACATGCTTACAAACCTGAGTCGTTGATCTTTTTTGATCTAACAGCTCTCAGATGAGATGTCAAATTTCAAATTTGACACTGGTGTCAAAGTATACTGCCACTTAATAATAATAATAATTATTATAATATGAGGTTTTCCTCATTTAAAAGGGAGGAAGGGCTTTATAAGGTCTTATAGATAGCAAAGTTGTAAAGAGAACAAAAAATCGCGAAGGAGGCTGCTATTGCTAGGGTTTTGTTTTTCTCTACTTTTTCACCACATCGCTCGCTTCAGGTTCAGATCTCTTCTCAAAAGTCTATATTTTTTCACTTAGATATCCCTTTTTTTGCTCTAAATTCATTCCAACTGTTTGTTTTCTCCTCTCGAAATTTAATATTTCATTTTAAGAATTTTCAGCTTTGGTTTTTGGTGTTGGTAGCAGGATTTGTATGAAACCGAAGTTAAAATTTATTTAATTTGTGTATGTGTTTGTGATTTGCAGGTTCTTCTGAAAGACTGAAACGATGTCCCGTGTGTATGTTGGTAACCTGGATTCAAGAGTGACCGAGAGAGACCTTGAAGATGAGTTCCGTGTTTTCGGAGTTATTCGGAGGTAGCTGAAGAAGTATTGATTGATGATGCTGCAGTTTGTTTACATGTTTTGCTGAGTTTTCTTATAGAGCGGTTGTGTTTCGATGCCAACTTTTTAGAGTTGAATCGTAGAAAATCAACTACTTTTGATGGATAGGAGTTTATGTTAACCTTGGGTCTTGTTGACTTGGCTTAAATCGAGAGTGGGCTAGTTAGTTAGTGAATGAGTGAGTGAGAGATAATGTTGTGCTGTGTTCTTTGAGTAGCTTTCTAGGATAGAAATAAGCATATTTGTGACTAAAATTAATTAACTAGGATTGGTCACCAACTAGTATCATATTGATCAATATTGTTTTGGACTTTTCAGCTTTTCAGTTTTGCTTACACTGTATATTTTGTTGCTTCTATGCTTATTTAGAAAATAATTTTAACTTTTTAAGTTTTATGGATGTTATGTATGCAGTGTTTGGGTTGCACGGAGACCACCTGGTTATGCTTTTATTGACTTTGATGACCGCAGAGATGCACAGGATGCTATTCGCGAATTAGATGGTATGCTTAGAAGAATTATAGAAATGTATTCAAACGCCGTATACTTATTTACCTCATCCTTCTTATCTGCTAATGTATTATTGTTTTGCCCCCTTTTCCGGTCGATATGTTGAAGGGTTTTCCTCAACTCCCTATTTAAGTCTTCTTTTTCGTTTGAGGAAGTCATAGCCTATGGGCAAGCAGATGCTCTCTTTCTTCTACTTCTGCCTTGCAAATCTCTTAAAAGCAGGCCTGCAGTAATGGTTTTTTCGTTAGTCTTCGTCAAAGTCTGCTGATTTGTACAGTTTGACTGCATGTAAAGAGAATTAAGAATGTGAACAGCGGATTTGCACTGCTTTGGAGTGTTATCGCAAGCTACACATCTGTTGCATAATGGGTTTGTTTTATGAGATGTGTGCTACTACAATTAACGTATGGGCCATGTGAGTGCTGCCTGTGTTCTGTATATGTCCCCCTTTGAGCAATTTGTGCTCCATTAACTTGTTATCGACCAGTGGTCAAATGAACTTCTGAAAAATTATGGTAACACAATTATTGTCTTTGCTCCGAATGAAGAACTTGTTCCTAGTTATGCCTATATGATACTACTGTATTCTCATGGATTATGCCACAGTTTATCTTTTTGTGTTAATTGTTTTCTTTGTACTTGAAATTGGAACTATTAAGAAAGATCTCTCTAAATGGATTTATTGAAAATTTGGTTCTTGATAAAGCCCAGCGATGTCGTTTAATCTGTGTAGCAGAACCCACCTAGTGAAATAAGGTTTGGTTATTGTTGTTGTAGTAATAGTATGTTCTTTGCACTTGTTTAAGTGCATCTTATTTTTTTTCCTCTTATTCCTTTATTTTTTCATTCTGCTTTTCTTTTTTCTCTCATTTTTCTTTATCTTCACTTTATTTTTTTATTGTTTATTGCTATTTTTTAATTTCTAGTGTTATTTATATTTTTTTTTTAATTTCATTTATCCTTTTTTTTGTTTTTTATTTTATTTTAATCTTTCCATTCTTTTAATTGGGTTCATTTGCCACCGACCCCAACTAGTTTGGGATAAAGGTGTTGTTAATGTTGTTTAGGTGCATCTTATCTGTATTTTTTTACAAGTGATGCAAATATCTGGTTATAAATTTATTATAAACTAATCTAGTCTTTCTGTTAAACTGTTTAATATTACTGGTCTTTCTCTTCGCTGAGAATATCAGCCTAAAGATTCATGTGTTTACAGGGTTATGATTCTATTTCACCAATATTTTCCTGTTTAATACCTATCTGCTGAAGCTAATGTGTTATATTTTTAGTCAGGAGTTGTTTCCTTTGTTAGATTTGAACTTCAAAGCTCTAATGTGGTTACTGTATTCATTCTTTGTTAAATCTAGGGACCTGAATATCTATTCTTTTTTGTTGATGTTTATTTACCGGGCCTTCTTGTTTTCTGTTCCATGGAGCAGGCAAGAATGGTTGGAGGGTAGAGCTTTCACACAACTCTAGAGGTGGAGGTGGAGGCGGAGGTGGTGGTCGTGGAGGTGGTGGTCGTGGTCGCTCTAGCGGCGGTTCTGATTTGAAATGTTACGAGTGTGGTGAACCTGGTCATTTTGCTCGTGAATGTCGCATGCGTGGTGGTTCAGGAAGACGTCGTAGCCGTAGTCCACCTCGATTTCGTAGGAGCCCAAGTTATGGGAGAAGGTGAGATTGCTTTCTTATATTTATTTTTTATCCTGTGTGCTATTGTGTTCGTGCTTTTATTTTCCTGTAGACAATATTATATTGTGGTTGTATTTTTCTTTAATGATTATGCAGCTAAATTTGTTAGTTGATCTACCTGCTTTTTGTAAGAATGTTATGGCTATGATTTATAGTTGGAAATTTGGTTTTCTTATTAATAATTACAAGTAGTGAAAAATTGAAAGTATATGCTATTTGTTACAAATTTATACCTGGATTTGGCTACTATTTACGATTTAAAAGTATTTGTTTCATTTCTCTTGTACAATTGTGTTCACGCTTTTATTTTCCTGAAGATAATATTATGTGGTGGCTGTGTTTTTCTTTAATGATTATGCAGTGAAATTTGTTTGTTGGTCCCCCTACTTCTGTAACAATGTTATGGCTATGATTTATGGTTGCAAATTTGTTTTTCTTATTAGTAATTACAAGGTTTGAAAAATTGAAAGTATATGCTATTTGCTACAATTTTATACCTGGGTTTTGCAACTATATATAACTTAAAAAAGTATTTGCATCATTTCTCTTATAGTTGAATGTTGTAATATTAATGGTTCCTTATAATTTCTTTGTATCTTTTTTAACACCTTTCTTTGGTATGAATCAGGAGTTACAGTCCTCGTGGGCGTTCTCCCAGGCGCCGCAGTGTGTCCCCTCGTGGACGCAGCTATAGCAGGTCACCTCCTTATCGTGGGCGTGAGGAGGTACCATATGCTAATGGGTTAGTTTTCTTCTCTTTCTGGAATTTAGTTCACTTTTAAATCATATTATTTGGTGGAAAATGTTTCTTATTGAGGTTATTTATTACCACATTTGGGTGGTCCTGATTTTCCAATGCACATTTATTTTTGCTTTAAGATGTCAAATGTTTTGTTTGGTTTGTTATCTAAAAAGATTGTTTCTCTCAAGAGTTGAGTCTAATTTCTCTTGAAAGAAAGAATAGTAATTTAATGTACTTTCTCCCTGTTCTTGCTTGAGGCTCTGCTTTATGTGACATTTTCATATTTCTATGTCTGTTTAGCCAGAAAGGAATGACAAATAAACGTGATGACTGAAGTAGGTAGGACCTGAATTGTTCTTCTTCTTCTTCTTTTTAATAAAAAAGGGAGCCTGCTTGTCATATTATCTTCTTTTTGCTTTAGCTGACAAATTATTAATTCTGCAATCAATGTACATTGTTATTTGTTGACTCATGATGCTTCTAAATGGATATGCAGAAATGGCCTGAGGGAACGACGCCGAAGCAGAAGTTGAATTTTATGATTTGGTAACCGCAATTGTTTAGAGGATAGTGAGATTTTGTTAATCTAGTGGTGCTTGGACTGCAGTATGAGTCTGTTTTGTTGGGCAACGCCGAGTCTTGACCCTTGGATTGGATTAGTTACTTTCTTGATGTCTCAGCTTGTGTTTATTTTATATTTTTGCAGAATACTTGTAGTTTTCATGCAGGTAATAATCTTTTTAAGGTTGTTGCTACTAGTTTGTCAAAAGAGTTCCAGATCTTTTTTAAGTACACGTTTTTTTTGTCTGTTGAGGTTTCTTCTGGAATTTCTTTATTGGTATTCTGCTTCTTATTCACTGAGTTGACTGCTCTTCTTTGGGATTTTCAACTTTTGAATGGTTTGGGTTGTAGCCTGTGCTTCTGTTTCATTGGTTCTCAATTGTGATGTGCTCATCTCAAATTCTAGCGGCATTTATTTTTAGGGAAAATTTCACTTTCACCTGTGTGGTTACACAACATACGCCACGTAATGTTAAAAATTTCTGTATTATTTAACCCCTCAATGTCAAAAATGTCGTTCTTATAAGTTGTCTAATTTGAAAAATACCTGTTATAAAGTAAACACCGAATTGCAAATGAAATGTCAAAGATATCTACCCTAAAACAGTATTAAAATCTATCTTCTATAATTTTAATGCATTGATTTGTAGGCGATTATGAATTGTAAGATAAAAACAACAAAAAATTCTGAAATATGTAGGAAGTCCAGAAAAACAAAGTAACTCTACTAGATCTGAAGAATAAATTTTTGTAAATAATCTTCAAGCCTCAGTAAAGTTACGAACGAGTTTCATCATTTTTATTTAATTATTATGTAGGAGGATCTGAAAAAAGGGAAGGGAAGGAATAAGTGACTAAACTTACGTTTATACAATGCTCTTTTTATATATATATATATATATATATTTTAAGACTTTTAGACTTTAATTTCCCTTCCTCGAAATTTCATCTGAAAAAGGGCAGGGCTTCTCCTCTAATGCAAAAGTGGTCACCGTCCTTGACAGAAATTCTTACTTAAATGTTAACGTAATGCATGTGGCTGATGCACTTAAGAGGTATGAAGTTTCGTTGGTTGGAATAAAAAACAAGCATAACAAAATTAATAGAAAAGAGACACATCCATGGGTGTTGTGTATAAAACACATTTATGCAGTTTGTGCCCGTTAGAGTACTTACACAATTTGAATGCAGAAGCTAGCTGCACATCATTCGTTTTTTTCACCACAAGGGAATTTCAATATCCTGCCTAAAAAATTCATTAAAGGAAATGGGCTAATTCCATTATAAACCACTCCACGATTCATGGGGCAACAATATCTTAAAAGCAGATAAGCAAGTAGAAATGAGTGATGTAAACCTTCCTAAGTAGAAATGAGTTTAAAGATTGCAAATCAATGATTGGGGCCACAACGAATACCAAGTGATCAAGCCACGTGAGTTTGTCTCTGCTATTTGCCTGCCGACATCATTTTGTTTTGCAGAACATGTACTCATGCATGTAAAACACATGGAAAAATGCTTAGAGTATAAGAAGATAACTAACACTGTGTTTTGAATTATTAATAAATTAATTAATTTGATTTCAATTGATTTAATTTATAAACGAATTCATATGTTTAGAATTGAATAACTCATTATAAAAAAGAAATGATGAATTAATTTGCAGATGTATTTCCATACTTGAAACACATTAAAAATGAATTACATTCATGTTATTTTATAATGTTTTAGTAACATTCATAATATGACTTTCTATTTACAAGCAATGGGTCGAATAGGTATAATGGCTATTATATTAACTAGTACACCAAAAAAAAAAAAACTGGAGTAATTAGGACTATATCATCAATTTAAGTAATTACAACTAAGATTACATTCAATCAAATAGACTCGAACCCAATTAAATTTGATTGAATTGTTATATGTATAAAACTAAAATTAGAAGAACAAAAATAAAAATAAAAATTATCACTTATTAGTTAAGTCATTTCACAAAGTGAGTGGGGGCAATAAAATTTATTTGTTTACATTAGATAAACAAAATGAATGTACAAGATAGCCCTTTGACCAAATAGAAGGAACCTATGATTCAAGTATCAAGCAAGATTGGCTTGCACTGCACTTAGACCTATGGAATTGTAAATTAATAAACTGAATATGAACAACCAAATCCCAAATAAAACCCAAGAATAGATACTAACAATAAAATAAAAAAAGGGTTGTTTTTTTTTACAATGTAGATAACTTATCTTTATCTACATTGAGCCAAAACGATGTCGTTTTCAGGCGGAAATCAAGGTATTTTTGTAATTATAATTTATTTTAGGGTTATAATAGTTTTTTTCATTATAATTTTTTAATTTTTTATCCAAAACGACGTCGTTTTGAAAGAGAATGTAGATAACCTATCTACATTCACTTTAGAAACATTAAAGCCATAAAAAAAAGGGATATGTAGCTCTCATGTCACTGCAGATGGGAAAAAGTGCAGCAATATTTATTTTTCTCATGATACGCGTGTGGATCCTGATGTTTTTTTTTTAAGCCAGGATACGACCATGTATCCTAGTATTAAAAATTTGCTGCAACTTTTCTCATCAGCAGTGAAAGGAGAACCGAAGAACCCTAAAAAAAAAGAACAAAAGTGAAATATTTTCTGCTCTTATCTATAACAGAAAAGCAAGAGTTCAATATAATGACCAGGGACCTACATTTAATATTTGGGATGATTAGTGTTAAAACAGAATTGATATATATATATAGATGAATAACAGAGAAATCCTCTCTGGTACTTGAAATCAATCTAAAGAACTGAACTTTCTTTTACTGCATTGCTTGTTTTGCAGCTTGAATGCAACTTATTTTCCATTTTTTTTCTCCTTGTTTTGAATCAATACTAGCTTATCTGCTCCCCAATTAAATCAAGACCCACAAGGAGGAATGTCACCCCTTGGAAAAGAAGAAAGTAAAAGTGAACTCCTTGTGCAGATAACAAACTCCTAACAGAAGCTGTGAGGAGGAGGAATGCCAAAGTAAGCTCTTTCTTATATATTTTATTAGCTTTCTTTACATGTGCTCCATTTGCTTCTTTCAGTTTCTTAAATTGGTGTGACTCAACTAGTACACTGTCAGAAGCTCCTCTATGAATCTTTTGTTGTTGTTCTATTGACTTAGCTTCCCTTTCTGCTGCAGCCACTAAATCAGACTCTGATGACCTACCAGCTTTCTTTGTGACAACCCATTCATAAGAGCTTCCCAATTGGAAGAGTCCAGATACCATTGCATTGAACTTGGTGACAGACATTGTGTTTTCAAAAAGAAGGTAAGGAACAATAAAAGGAAAAGATTTAGGGGCTGGAAGAATGTTGAGGAATGACATAAATACAGGTATATAGCAGATCACCCATAAAGGAAGCTCTGCCTCTGGGACAAACATGGTTAAAGGAAGAATTATGCAAAATAAGGTGAATGAGTAAAAGGGAAGAATAAGTTTCCTCAACAGAAAGAATAGCAGTATTAAATTTGCTTTCTTCCATGCTGATATCTGCAGTTACAGAGAATTCAGGTCCATTAGGCTGTGCTCATATTATAAACAACAATTGCAAGTTATCAGAATTTGTTTTCATTTTTCATTATTCTATTTATTACTTCTGGATGAGTATCATATGTACCTTAGATTTCAAAATTGCTGGCAGACACAATCTAAAAAGTTGCATAGGACCTGAATGCCAGCGATGCTGCTGCTTCCTATAAGCTTCATAGGACTCAGGAACTTCACAAAGTACCTGAAAATTTACAGATTTCAGAATTCAAGAGTGCTTTAGGGATCTAAGGTGAAAGTTAAGCAACTAGTCATATTAGCATATATAAGAATATTATTCTAGAAGTACAATAACACAGTATGCTTGAGGGCAAGCTTTGGAGCAGTATTGAGGTTGCTCCTTGTGATAAAAAGGTTACGGGTTCAGTCTGGAAACAACCTCTTTGTAGAAATGCAAGGGAAAGACTATGTACAATCGACTCTCACCACTACCTTCGCAAGTTGGGGAGCCTTGTGCACCCGAGTTTGCCCTTTTAAGGACAGCAGTACAGTATGCACTGCAAAGAATGGAAATATTAACGGAAAAACAAGTCTTGTTATGATTACCTTTACATCATTTACAAAGATAAATTTCCAACCATTGAGATGAGCTCGGATAGCAATGTCCATATCTTCTACAGTTGTCCTCTCGAGCCAGCCACCAGATTCTTCTAGGGCTTTGATTCTCCAAACACCAGCAGTTCCATTGAATCCAAAAAAATTGAGAAATACCCCATTGACCTGTTGTTCTACCTCAAAATGAAAGCATAAATTAATGTTTTGGAGACGAGTCAACAAGTTCTCATCCTTGTTCACAAAAGCCCATCTAGCTTGGACAAGGCCTAATTCAGGGTTATCCTGTAATAAAAGGCGTGCACAGATATTAAAATATGCTAAACACAGATTTACCAAGAACTTTTAATGAATATGTTTGATGTTCTCTTCTTAACCTTGAAATATGGCACAGTTTGCTTAAGAAAATCAGGATTTGGTTGGAAGTCTGCATCAAAAATTGCAACAAACTCATAGTCTTTCACATAGTCACAGCTCATTGCAGACTTGAGATTCCCAGCTTTATATCCAGTCCTAACTAAGCGATGCCTATAGATTATGTTGATTCCCTTTTGGCTCCACTTTGTGACCTCACCCTTAATTAACCACTGTATGCTCTCATCATCAGAATCATCTAGTACTTGAATCAGTAAACAATCCCTTGGCCAATCAATTTGGCAAACTGCAGAAATAGACTGCTCATACACCTGCATAAAATCACCACATGCAAAGCCAAAGGATTAAAATAGCCTTAATTGTCCCTTATTGCTTATAAGATTGACAAATACTTAAAATTCCCAATGCACAAGGCAAACTGACTTGTGAGGGTAAGGGTGAGAATTGATTGTACGCAACCTTACTTTTGCATATTTGCAAAGAGACTATTTCTAGACTCGAACTCATGACCTTCTAGTCACAAGGAGCGACCTTACCGCCGCTCCGAGGCTCGCTCTCACATTGTTATGTAGGCTAAAGAGTAATTTTGCTTCTAATTCAAGAAGGTTGCATATAATTCCTAAGGGGTTTTTAAATTATATTGCGGTAATCCAAGGTAAATTACATTGTAAATTCTAGCTTGTCTTCTGATGACAATTTCCAAATCTTTTCCTGAGTA